GATACAGAGAGTCCCTTGATCACACTCCAGCAAAACAAAGCTGGGAATCCAGCTAGGGGTGAAATTTCTTTGCTTATATTAGGACATTCCATTTTCCACTCCGGTGGTCAAGAATGTGCCGGCCCCTGGGACTTCATCTCTGGCCACTGCCACTGTCACAACAAAAAAGGGATGACTTTTACGTAGCACGAGGTCTTAACAGAGTGCAGAGCAGATCAGCCCCAAGATTTTGAGTGTGAATAAATAAGCAGAACAACATTTCATTCAAGTTTATTGCTGGAGTTCATTCCTGCTTTACGTAACCTCGTGTTGTTATCATTTACACCCACAGGCTTCAACTTTTCCCGGCCGCAGACCTGGTGAGATTTCTGCATGTATCTAGTCTTTGTTCTTGTAAAAATATCCAATATCAGTTGATTGAGAAGTTAGCAAAGATGTAATTGTGATACATATTTATTTCTCTGTTCCTTTTGTGGTGATTAGGATAAAGGTTTATTACTCCCTAATGCACAGTGCATTACTTTATTTATTTCACAAGGATCTCCAGAAGAATTTCTTTTTTTTTTCCCCCCAGGGGGGGGATTAGGAATGTCATCTCCGCTGAAGTCAAAGGCAGGGCTTGGATCCACTGACATGTAAGTCTTATGGCTTGAAAACCTTTGGAAGACACTTACGATTTTGCCGAAACAGCTCCCAAAAGAAGCTCATGATTAACTGAATCGGTAATGATGCGAATGAATGACATCATTCCGAATCGCTTGCTATGATGTCTTTGGAAATGATGTCCTACTCTAGTTGCTATTTGGAGAGAGCTGTGTCAGTACTCCTTCACTTTTCATTAAATTGAAAGCATACATGTAGCCTATTGGACAAACAGTATAGAGTACCAAAGTGTGGCGTCACTGTGAACCAGAGAGTGCAGTGCAAACGAATGGAGTACGCGCGCATGTTGGTTCACACGCTGGTTCTCACGCTAATGCCTTTTACACACTAATTGTGAGCGTGACGTATTCACTTCGGTACTCTATGGGACAGGAACAGATGCCTGTAGCTTTTTCCCAGTGTAGGCTCTTTCAGTTCTAATCTTTGTGTGAAGGTACCAGCTACCGTTGAGTTATTTTCAAGAACTACTGTGTGTCTCAAAATGAAACAGATTGACGAGCAAACAAGTTTTTTCACCCTTCTCTCTATCGTCAGAGATATTGTGCATATTAAATGAAGGAAGGCGTTGGAACATTTTAGACTGAAAATGGACTCTGGGTCAATCCCTCAATCATGACTTTGGTGGTCCATTGGCAACAATCATCCCGTGAGCCAACGTTTTGCCCACATCAAGCCCCCTTCACCTGTGCCTAGAGTCTAGATGCTGAATTATTGATTGAGCCACAAATTTTTGTGGGGGGGGGAATTTTTACTTTCTGTACATCTGCAGGGTGAGCGATGATAATTTCTACAGCAATCTTGCTGCAGAGATAGATGAGGTGAGCCAATTTTGCTTGTCTAGAAAATTTCCTTCTGAATTTGAGAGT